ATATGTGTATGTACATACACATATGCACCACGTATGCGTGTAGGTACGTACACATATGTACACGGACTACACATGGTTGTATACGTGTGCACATCTGCTTGTGCACTTAAGCACACACACGTGCATATATACACGCGTCTACCCTTGTAGGAATATGTGCACAAACACGCTTATGCACTTACTCACATATACATGGATATATGCACATACGCACACGTAGACACAGACACACGCATGCACACACACAAACACATGGATCCAGACATGAATACTCGCACACATGGCAGGGTTCTCCCCAGGCTGTTTTAACACACTCCTTCACACACATCAGTCCTGACATGCCTTCAAAACTGAATCTAATTTGCAACATTCCATAAATCTTCCAACATGCCTCCAGCTGTGTTTACTTTTGAAAATAACTACAAATTAAGTGCTAGATATATACATCTCCGAACTGATATAGTTGATCTAATGATTTAATTGTGTATTGAGACCACATACGTTACACATAATTGACCCCAACTAGCAATCGCAGATGAATTGCTGGGTTGCCCGACAATCTTTTTGAAAATCCTGGGGAGAACCTTGCATACACGTACATATACACGCTCACACACTGCACACGTGTTTGAGTACATGCGTGCATACACAGAGAATGCACGTGTAATGCTAGCCGCACACTATACGACCCGAGCGGGATCGGGAGGCTTACGTCTGGATCAGGAGGCTTAAGTTTGGCTCGGGAGGTTATTTTGGGCCGATTCGAAATTTGAATCGGGAGTGGAGCGGGTCGTATTGTGTGCGAGGGTTTACGACGCGACTCGGATAGCGTGCGTGGCCATCCGACCCGCCGCCAAGCGCTGAAGAAAATTGACCAATTACAGAGCAGCGCCATGGGAACCGCATTCGGTCAAAATGGCGGGAAAACACTCCCGACCCTTAGTACACGCTAAATGCGCTTGGAACGCGACGAGAGTGCCATGGTTTGCGCCGACTTTGAGTCGTACAGTGTGCGTGGGCCTCCCGATCGATCGGCTGCCGAGCGTATGGTGTGCGAGGGCTTACGACTGCGGCCCGAGCAAAATCGTATAGTGTGCGGCTAGCATAACCATTCGAACACGGAACTATTTTAGCCGTCCTCTCGAGCTATGTTCCATGCCTGACCTCACGGTACCGTTCAGGCCACATAACAATTAAAAAATCTTTGATTGCCCTCACCCGACCCAGGCTGAAAAGTTTGGGTAGGTATTAAGGCTTAAATTTTTTTTTGAGGGGGTTTTTTTACAAATTCAGCATGGTGTCTACATGCTCGGGTGTGCTTGTGTGGAGATACCTTTTATGTTGAACGTTTGTTTTGCTTGGTACATATAATGTATTGCCTACAGATTTATATAATGTACAGTGATACAATTTCGATTAAAAATTTTAGTAAAAAAAAGATAAATAAAAATATTTGAGTCGGCCCCTTTTTGACGAGTCGGTCGGGTGAGGGCAAATAAACAATATTTTTATTATGGCCTCACTTGTTTTAGGAGTCACATCCTTCAGTCGGACACGGACGTGCTCTGTCGGACGTGGATCGACGCGTTGACTGAGAGCATTGGCGCAGCGTTCCGCGACACGCTCCATCCATCAGAGTCCGCGCCCTCTCTCAGCGCAGCCGCCAATGCCAAACCAAGTTGCACGCCGAACGGACGTCTGTCGACCAGTGACAGCGACCCAACCCTAGACACTACTGTCTTACCAAAACCAGCGATAACCAGGTTGGTATACTGTATACGCTGTATATTTCGCAGTGGTTTAATTTTCGCGAATTTCGCGAACGCGTCCCCGACCGCGAAAATAACTGCATGCG